GGCAGCCCTCACACTAGTCTTCCTCGACATTTGCCCAGTGCGTGGACAGGGCAGGGTTGAAGCCACAGGAGAGACAGGGTTCCAGGGAGATGCTGCTCTTCAGCATAAATGAAGCCCAGAAAAGTGCCAGGTTCTGATGATCTCGTCTGGATTCCGGAAGAACACTTGACACAGACTGCAGAGCTCGGCGCCTGAGTCAGTGGGTAATTTGTGCAGTCCCATGGGTTAAAGTTTTCTATTAAGCTATCCACGCTGCTAATAATTCAGCTGAAAGATACGTTAGATATAGCCTTTGGAGAAAATGGAGTACCCATCTCAAGGGGTAATGACACTGTGAAAGCCATATTATTTCAACTGTGGAGAACAATTTTAAGTCTGTGCTAATAGATTAAGCTACTAGAGTGATCATTTTGAACAGAGAATGGTTGAGCGTTATAAGGCCAGCGGGTGCTGGTCGGGATGGGTAAAGTGTAATAATTTAATCCTTTCCACCTGTGACGTGGCATGCGTTTAGTCACTATCACACCGCACCAGCGGAAGAAGGTCTCTGGCTTGGGGTCACGCATACTAAGGTCTGGCATTTGCTCCTTTCCAGCTGTTTGACCGGAGATGAATGACTAGACCACTGGGAGCTTCAGGGTCCCATTTGTAAAATGGAGATGGGAGAGAAATGCCCAAGTCACAAGGCTTTGTTTGAAGAGACCTGGGGTGAGGCATGGGCGAGTGTTCAGTAAACCACAAGGGCTGAGTAGACATTGAGCTTCCTGGGAGCATGGAGGGACGTCCTTGGCTTGCAGAAACGACAGAAGTGTGAGCCTGTCACACTTGAAATGCACAGAGAGGGTCACCCTTGGCAGAAAGGTTCACCAGCCCCTCTGTAAAGCAACATGCCATCCCTCATTCATCCCCTTGAAGCAGCGCCCGCACGTCAGCTTTGGTTATGGTGGGGCATCTGTGCGGACAGCATCTGCAGAGATGGCACAACCGCTGTGAAAGCTCATAAGAGTAAACAAGGTTCCCCTTGCAGGCAGGGACGAATTTCGAGATCTCTGGGCCGTTGTCGGGTATGATTCTGACGTCCGGTTGAAAGCTGCACTAGCAGGCAGCCGGTTCCATCTGTGCTCGTGCGAGGCACACACTCTGCAGGACTCCTGTGAACCAGGTGCCATTGCCCCCGTCACCTTTCATGGTGAAACGAGCCCAAAGGATTATGTTTGGAAGCTTCATTGTATCTGCTAATTAGCGGTGGCTAGGTTCAGAAGTGATTTTGTTGGACAAACCCTTGAGATAGAAATGGAAAAAAAAATGGAGGAAGGGTTATCTTTAAATAGACTTAATACTTAGTAAAGGTAAAATGGGCAAACAAATAAATCTTTGAGCGACTGTGAGAGAAACACAACCCTCAGCAAGACTTCTTGGGTTAGGCAGGATTTGATTCATAAGTGGCTGCAGATTGGATGACTCCTTTGAAAACCTTCATGTCCTCCTTTATGGAACGAACACTCAGTCTCTGAGCTGATGACCAAGGCTGTTCAAGGTCCGATTGCAAACTTCATCTCAGGCCTCCCTCCACTTCTCCCTAACGCTGCCTGTCCTTGACTGGGGCACAGCCTTACTCATGCATCATTTGGCGAGCATCCTGTGCACCACCCACATGCAGTGGGACCTGTGGTTTGAGCTCAGGAGAGGGGCGGAGTCTCTGGCTCTGCCAGGAGCAGAGGTGTCCATGTAGATGGGAGACCCAGAGAGGAAGTGGAGGCTGGAGGCCCGGGAGTCTTCCGGCTTTTGTGGGAGGCAGAAGAGCAGTGGGAGATCCTGGAATCAGGGAGAGGGCTCACGACTAGAGAGTCTTGTGGAAGCAGGGAAGAGGGGATCTTGGGGTATAGCTGAGATGGATCAGCAGTGTCTGATGGTGCAGAACGTTTCAGGGGTGAAGACAGAGCTCTGTCTGGTGGGTGTGGTGATGGCAGTGATTGGTGTTTGTGGTGAGCCGTGGGCACAGGCCTGCTGCTGTGTTCATTGTCTTCTTTTCTCCTGTGGTTCCTTCTCCAGCCATGGTCTCTGTGGCTCACATAGCTTTCCTCGGGTGCACAGCACATCCTTCCTCAGTCCAAGCCTGTCGGCTTCTCTGTGGTCTTTGCCTTGCCCCCTTCTCTGTGTGTGGGCAGCAGCCATGTCTGGGCCCTCTCGGGACCTACCCCAAGTACTTGATGGGTGCCTCTACTGTCACAGGACAGGACAGGGGTCCACAGCCTGACTGGAGCTCCATATTTATCCTGGACAGGAAGTCCAGCCCCTGTCAGTAGTTTGTGGTGTTAGAATTAAAAGAACCTGGATTTCTAGTTGGTGAAAATTCCTTTTAGCAACTACTAGTGACGACTTCATTTTAGCTCCAGCTTCAATGGCAATCATATGTCCTAAGGATGACATCACATCCGAAGTATGTCCCACCTAGCGTGTATATCGCTGATCTCACACATCCTATGTTATCTGTTTACCTGGGGTGTGGTGGCCTTGTTTGCACATGTGAGGTCCCGGGCATGCTGGCAGAGGTCCCCCTATCCTCCATCCTCCAAGCCTCCCTTTGTGTAGAACCCACTGATAGTTAAGGAGATGATCTGTTATGTATCACCTCCCTTCCCCAGTCTTCTGCCAGGTACTCTGTGTCAAAGTGAAATGAGTCAGTATTTCTTAAACTCTGGGTTCATGGTGCGCTTTTCCAGTTAAATGGAACTGAAACTAACGGTAAAAGAAAAGAAGGAAAGGTCTTGGCTCACTCTGAAAAAGCACGCCCTGCTAAATGTGAAGATAGCTTGTATTAGGCAAAGCTTTCCAGCTTCTGGTGGATTCCGTCAGTCCAAATGAAAAGTTCCTTCCAATCCATGACTTGGAATCCACTGGAGCTCACCCCACAGGTGCCTTTTCCATTTTTTCTCTGAATTAATATAACCCACCTGTTGACTCTGCCTGTCCTACTCACAGTGGCTGGGATCATCACCTCAGGGGTCTGAAAGGAGCCCCTCCAAGCCAATCGGCCACCCCCAGAGAGTGCGTGGACACGTGGTGTGAACCAAGTGGGTGGGGTAGGCACGAGGCCACATCCAGTATCCATCATGAGCAGGGGCCAGAGCCAGAAGCGTGGGAGTTTGTGGAGGCTTTCTGAGCAAACCGGCTCTCCCTGCACCCCCAGGAGCTTCCCGTGGCGGGAACCTAGGCCCGCCCTGACCACCTGCCTATCTGCAGTGCTGCCACTTGTGTCTGTGCTTTGCAGCCTGGCAGGACAGTCACTCCCGCTCCACTGCGCCTGCCCCTAGACTGGGCTCCTTGGTGGAACTGTGGTTTTCGACTGTGGTAAGACCTGTACTGTCAGGGTGGACGGAACCTCACAGGTGGAGTGCCTGCTGTGTGCCAGGCATTGCGCTTGGCTCTGGGGAAACCTCTGTGATAACCGACACAGCCCCTGCCTTAGGGGGCTTGCAGTCTAGCTGGGCCTGACAAAATGGCCAGATCTTTTGAAAGGAAATGCGTACGTGAGGCCACGATTCCATCCAGGTAGTGGGTGTCTGAGGTAGTGTTGCTGAGTGAGTGAAGGGATGGAAAGGGCAGTGACACTGGTAAGCATCCAGTTTGCATGTGGAATCTGCTCACTTCTGTCTGCAGTCGTCCCAAGTGGGCGTTTTAGTCCATTCTACAGATGAGAAAACGGGTGTGGGAGCGTCTTGCCCAGGCCTCACAGCTTAGTGCTCGAGCTGAAGTCCACTTAGTGTAGGATGAAGCACGTGCTCCTTCCACCTTGCCACTCAGGTCTGCCTGGACACAGGTGGGTCCATCTAGCACCCTCCTAAATACGAAGACTCTCTTCCTCTGCTGAGTAATCCCAGTTCCTGTGGCTTTCCTCCTGGGCTAGTTTCTAATCCTTCACTTGTTTGTACAACTCTAGAGTCTTAACCCTTAAATCTTTTTCATGTTGTATTTCTCTTCTTGAGATCAAAGACAGTTGTTATTAAAAACAACCCAGGGATCAGCAAATGGCATAATGGTTACATCCCTAGACTCCCACATAGTTGACCATGGTTTGAGTTCCAGACCCAGTGACTCAAAACTAACACTGGGCATATGTGTGTGTGCACCCAACATCTCTAGAGGAGAATGGAGGAGAAGGGATTGTGGCATGGCTATCTCCCCTTGGGGGTGGTTTCTTACTTTGTCTCTCTGAAGAGCACACATGCCCTATAGCAAAAATCTCTCTAAAACTGAAAACGAAACCAAAACAAAACAAAACCAGCCCAGATCTGGCAGAGTCAGGAACATGGGGATTATTGCCAACTGGAATTTGGCCTTGCCTGGAATCTTCCAGGGGAACTACAGAGGAGGACCTGGCATGGAATTCAGGAGGTCCCCTGCACTGGTGGGCACTCCTAGGACTCTGAACCCCAGCTCTATGACAGTGAGTTTCCCTCAGCAGGCCTCCTCCACACACCATAAGGGGTGAGGCCTGTGCTGATGGACAACACCAGGGGAGAGGCAGCCAGGTGAGGACTACGCTGTTGACATCATGCAGAGTAGAGCTTCCAGAGTGTGTGGGAAGACAGGCGACCCAGGACAAACCCAGTGATTGTGTCACCACCCAATGGACCAGGAGCAGCTCTTCCCACATTGTAGTAAATAACTCACATGGTCGTTCCAACTCTCATTCTTTAGGTAACCCCCTGGAAGCCCCAGGAGGCAGCCTGACAGCAGGGAAGGAGCTTGGACTTTGGGTTTAAACCTGAGGCCATTTGCTACTGCTTAGGGACTTGACCATGTTGCTTTGCATCATTGAGCCTTATTCTTTTCATCTGTATATGGATGTGAGAGCAAGACAGCATTGCTGAGAGGATCACGTGCAGTGTGGACATGTTCCTGGGAAGTACAAGTTGGTCCCTGAGGTAGCTGTGATCTGTTGTCATTGCTAGTCCTAGAAGTGGGACTTGTGTGACCTTTATGTTGTCCTCCCACAGGTCACAGATGAGGAGCCCAGCTCCAACCACACAGTCATGATCCAGGAGACCCTCCAGCAGGCCTCAGTGGAGCTGGCCGAGCAGCACCACTTGGTGGTGTCCTCTGATGACGTGGAGGGCATCGAGACGGTGACCGTCTACACACAGGGTGGGGAGGCCTCGGAATTCATCGTCTACGTGCAGGAGGCCATGCAGCCCGTGGAGGAACAGGCGGTGGAGCAGCCAGCCCAGGAGATCTAGAGGAGGACTTGCAGATGGACGGCCGCAGGCAGGGCTGCAGACTCTGCAAGCACCCAGGGCACGGGCTAGAGCCCTCCTGGCCCACAGAATGGTGCTCTCTTCTGCACTTCCTGTCTGGCGATCCCGAGGAGACTCTCCTCTTTCTACTCTGGGTGGGCAAGGCAGTTGGCATCACCAGCAATACGGGACTCCTGTCCTCCTAGACATACACACCCTTGCCCTGTTCCGACTGCCTCCACATAGGCTTCCACATAACTCCCCGCACGTACCTACACCACATCACCCCTGCTGCAGGGTCCACGAGACCCCTGTCTCCATCAACATCTTCCCCACCTCCTCCACCCCCAGGCCCCCATCTAGGTGATGCGTCTTCATCTGGAACCATTATGCAGCAGTCTGGCAAAAGGGAGACAGCCGTCACATCAGAAGTGACCTTAGGGTGTTTGAATCACTGCTGGGCAAGGTGGGATGGTCCTGGCTTCATCTGCAGAGTCCCGTCCTCCTCGAGGGTCAGAGTGCTTGTTATTAAGTGAAGTAACCGTGATTCACTCCATCTCATGTCCCTTTACCAACCTGGAATTCTGCTTCTAAGAAATATGCACTTTCACTGTTCACCTCCCATTCTCAGAAGGGGAGGTGAATGGAATAAAAGCATCCTCCACCTGAGCACTGCAGTTCCTCAATTAGGTTGGATGTTCACATTTCTGTTTCTCAAGTGGCGATCTTGGGTTCAGGCCCCACCTGCAAATACCCACTAAGGCCCAGGCTCTCAAAGTGCAGGTGGTAACCGTCTTTCTTCTTGAAAGCAGCTGGGTTGCCTGGGATCCAGGAGTTTGCCCTCTGTTTTCCTGGAACCCACATGTAATCTGCACCGACTGAGAAGTGGCAGCGCCCCTCTCTCTACTGTGCATTTGGGAGAAGCAGTAACCGGACACTCTGAAGCTTCAGGACACAGTGACATTGGACTGAGACTCCCAGCCTGGGTGTTCACTGCTCTGGGTACAGTGCTGATGGGCAATGTGGTGAGTCCTGCACTCTCTGCCCATCCCTGGGGTCTCTCCACTTCTTCACACACTTTCTGACTCACTGAGGCCAAGGTTGGTTTCCTCTGAGAACCTTTCCTTCCAGTGAAATCCTAAACAGGTATATGAGGACAGGTCTCCAGCAAGTTCATGGGAAGCACATATTATGAAAAAAACTGTGATTTTCAAAATTCTTTGGCACCAAAATAATCTTGTGCTTTAATTCCATTTTCCCTGAGCTTTTTGAAGTCCCCTCCTATTAGTGGATGAGTGTACAGATAAAGTGGTAGCTGCTCTGTTGAAGAGGGTGAATCCACAGCCAAGTACACTGGCCCTTACAGTTACCAGCCAACTTGCCTCATCCCAGCAGGGCCTCAGGGCATGTCTTGAGACAGCCTTAGGAGCTACTTCTGGTACAAGGAGGAAGGTGAGTTTTGCCCTAGGCCAGGAAGGGAGGAAGCGCGTTTTCCACTTGGGATGAGTTAAGGAGAGCTTCATGATGGAGGTGGCCTGTTTCAGGACATTGCCCTCGCAAGGATGGGGGTGGGGAGTAGAAAGGGAATTCCAAAGAAGAGCAATGGCGGCCCTAAACCCTGGGTGGACAGCGCTGACCTCTGGTTCACAGTGTGGACTTGCTTTCAGACTCTGTTAACACAGGGGGAGAGACTAGACTTTGTGTAAAGAGCGTATACCCAGGCCAGACAGAGAGGATCAGATGGTAAGTGCCCAAGGCCGGGATAGTCACTGAGCCGGGAGCTTGCTGTCATTCTGCATCCAGTGCGCAGGATGGTGCTGGGAGCTGTGGGTGTTCTAGCCCAGTGTCGGGTGAAGAAGCTCATAAAGAGGGAGCTTCATGGGGAGATGTCAGTGACTGCTTAGTACCGCGTCCGAGTGGGGGGCAGCTGTGGCCCCTCCTGGTAGGCCCACAGGTGGAGGTGACCTTCCTACTCGGCCATGCAACAGCAAGTCTGAGCTGCCTCGGCTGAGAGAGACGGCCATACTGCCTGAGTAGCGTTTTTGAGGAGACAGTGACTCATTTTTATAACCTGTACCTACAGGGCTAATTTAGCAAATTAATTTTTCTTGTAAGAAGTACTTAAAATTCATTAGCTGTTGTCACTGATGATTTTTCTCTTGTTCTTTAGTTCCATCTTTCAAGGCTGGAGAAAAAAAGACCATTTGATTCCAACTCCATCTCCTCCACCCCTTTTAAAATTTCAAAACGAACTGTCCATCCTGCCCTTGGCTGAAGTCCAGGTTGCCGTCAATCTGTCCCCTGTGGTAACCATGTCAAGACCTAGCGGGAAGTCTTTGGGAATCAATTAAATAGACCTAATACTTTGCTGGAGGAAAATAAAATAGTGTGCTGGGGGGGTCTTAATTTACCATGCATCACAAAATTTTCTTAAGTAAATTATTTTCCAGTCAGCTTGGCCCTTCTCTTAGCCGTGACGGGGACACGTTTAGGTTTGATTTAAGGCATTCTAATCTATCACTGTCACTGTTGCTGCTGTAATTTAAGGCTTCGGTGGTTCGGGGTGGATAACAGTTGTTACACTTCCTGCAGGCTAAAGCAGTGACGGTTCGCCATATTAACTATCACAAGGCAGATGAAGGGAAAGATGAAGGTCTGTGTAGACAGGGGAGGGCTGTGACAGAACAGAGTCCCCTGGGGAGCCAGCTGGACAGAGGGGCACCTGTCCTTTCCTGGTTCTCCTGTGGGTCCTTCCATTCTGCATCTCTAACCTGAGCACCCAGAACTAGACCTGTGGGTCACAGATGTCCCAGACACAGCCCTGCTTGGGGCCTGTGATGGTCAGGAGAAACGGATGGGGAAGTTACCCTGACAGTGCTGAATACCGAGGTCACACCAGGCCATCCAGTGCCCTGATGGCAATTGGCCTTGTAAGGTGGCGTCAGCAGGACCTAGAGAGAGGGTGCCCACCTGGCCTCTGGCCCTTTTGGCCACTGTGTACTGACTGTAGTCATCAGCTGGAGTCCTCCCGGTCCAGGCTCTCGATAAGCCCAGTGGCGGCCTCTCCAGGAAGCTGGGGGCATGCCGTGAGTGGCAGCCTTTGCCGTGTCCGAGGTCAGAATCCTGGTTCGCACGGGTTCACCACTTACGGGTGGGACATTGCGCATTCTCTCTCAGCCTCGGTCTTTCATCTAGTGTGGGTATCACAGTAGCACCTCCACTGTCAAACTCTTGCAATGCTTAGATAAGACACAGATAAGATCACAGCACAGGCCTCCGAAAGAGAGTTAATTAGTACAATCCCTATCATTACTGCCCCATTTTTATTTTTTAGTAATCGTGTCAAGTGCACAGAGGGCAGAGTAGCCCGAGGGTGGGCTGCCACCAAAGGAGCCCCAGAAGCTGGGAGAGCCTAGAAGGGACTCCCCAGTTTGCTGTGACCGGGAGGGACTGATGAGTGACCTAACACAGAGCAGAGCCTACAGAACAGGCGCAGGTGCAGGGCCGCAGGGCCTTGAGGGAGACAGCCATATTGCCTGGTTTTACAGATGAGCAAACCGATGCTCAGAGGGAAAGGGACCCATCCAGTGGTACAGAACAAGGGCGTCTACAGAACACTCCTGCTTCACCCGGTTGGGGAGGCGCATGCCCTGGGAGCCGAGATTGCCTCTGCAGTTCTCGGGGAGACTGGTCCTACTGCTCCGTCCTCTCTGATAACAGCCTTATCCCCTGCTGCTGACCTCACTAACCTGGCCTTTTGTCAGAACGGGCAGGAGAAATACCCGGGAGGTGTCCTTGCAAACTCCCCCGAACTGCAAGGACAAGCCCCTCCCACCATGTGGGTGAGTCTTTGGTGGGGAGCCATCAGAGAGGAAAGGACAGCTATCAGTTCCACATCGGTCCTCTTGGTGTGAGCCAGACATCGGTGGCCCCAGTGTGAGGAGCCAATGGCCTTCAGAAGAAAGGAGCCCCAAGCCTTGGACACTTCAGGGCCAGGGTCTGTTCCTAACCTACCCAAGACCTTGAAACCCATCTGGAAGTGCTTTTGCAATAAGCAAAGCTTTCCTTGGGGTATCTGCAAACTTGAAGCCACTCGTTCCTTAAGTTCTTCCTTCATTTCTTCCCTGTGCTCCCCTCATAAGTCTAGCATGGGAGTTGATAGCGACCTCAAGACGGAGGAGAGGACTGAGCGGAAATAGCATTACCATGCTGGCCCAGGGTAGGTGTGTGGCACAGGGCAGTTGCCAGCATCACAATCCTCCCTACAGGAGCCTTTTGAAAGTGGGGCTGAAGTACCAGCTGTCCTTGGAGGCATCCACATCCCAAACCGCTAGGCTCCCTAGGTAATAGTGTTGTCAGCATCGGTAGAATTGAATGCATTTGCCGGTGCTATTAGGTTGTCTGAAAAGACATGATGCATTTTTTCTGATGACCCAATATTTTCTTGTGGCTGAAATTGTGTGGGCTGCGTGTGCGGTACTGGGGATGGTTTCTGCGACCCCACACCCTACAGACTGTCACTGTCACTGTGAAACTGTGCCTTGCATGTGAGACGGTCGTCACACCCAGCCACAGTTCCCTGTGCGGGCTTTCATCGGGTGCCTGCCTGTGTGTTGAGGGCCAGACAGAAGGTGCGGGGGGATCCAGTGCACGCACTCCCCTTTCCATGCTTCGTTCAGCCCAGGGGACCCTGTTTGTTCTGCCTCATGAAGCTTAGATCACAGAGGAACAGAAGATAAAGTTGTGCAGTCTTGGGCCTCTCACCTGATCCCAGATGTCAGAGAAGGATTGAGGACACTGGTGGAGAGACCGTTTCAGGTTGAGAGAAGAAAAGAGAGTCCTCAAACGGTGGAAGCCAGTGTGCTGGGCACATCCACCAAGAACCCTAGGTCTGAACAGTGCTCTAACCTTGGAGGGTTACAAGTCCTTTGAGGCGTCTGAAAGCCACAGACCTACTCCCCAGGGGACTGTGTCCACACACAAAGCCTCAGTGCATTTGGATGGCTCGTGAGCTCCAGATTAAGGATTTGTGATTCAGTTTGAATTAGGCTGCCTTGGGCAGGTCGTTTAAGCTGCTGGCACCTCAGTTTCTTCCCTGTACTGTCAACGATGACGGTGGCAGCAAGAGCTTTCGTAGTGCTGATGACGTGAGACCTCTGTTAGGTGTTCTGAGTTCACTACCCCTCATTTCACAGATGCGGGAGTTGTGGGCCTGAGAAGTCACGTTGCTCTGAGCAGAGCACATATATCTGCTGGAGATGAGAACCCACAGGAATGTGAATGTGTGTGTGCCCAGCCCCAAAGCCCTCCTTTTCCAGCTCTCCCTCTGTCAGCCTACCCTCCTGCGTCTCATTGGTGCCCAAGCCTGTGGAATCTCTGTAGCTACAGGTTCAGGAGCAATGTTGGGGTGAGCAGGGGTCTGGAGTAGCTCCAAAGGAAACAAAAAAGGAGCTGGTTGTGCTCATGACACACCAGCAAGGGGGGTGAGGAGGCCCTGGCCACCCCAGCCCACTGAGTGCAGGTTGGTTCTGGTAGAGGGTGTGGAGTTCTCAGGGTGCCCTGAAGAACAGAGGGCTGTGGTCCATCTCTGATTGCCTGGCAAGCCCACTTCTCCTTGCACCTTGGGTGGTGAAAAGAAAACAGGCTTCAGACCCAAGGGAAACTACCTT